ATAAATAAAATCTGACTTGAATTGACGCTGTTACATCGGAAACTCATGAATGTCTGAACCAAATTTCAAGACAATCTCATAGTTGTTGAGATATTTTACTCAAAACCACGAATGTCAACCTCATGGTGGCGCTAAAAAATAAATCAGTGGCTCGCCAAAGTCTGTAGGGTCCATCCTCTGGAGACCATGAGCGGCTGTACAGAATCTCATGGCGATCCAAGTGACAGCTGTTGAGAAATCCGAGTCTGGACCAAAGCGTCGGACCAACTGACCAAAAATGCCACCCACTCACATGTACACCAAACGTCTGTGTGTGTGTGTGTGTGTGTGTGTGTGTGTGTGCCTGTAGGCCACCACAGTGCCCCAAACACAGCTCGGCTCATGAAGACGTGTCCTCTAATGATCTGATGGGCAGAAAGCAAAGCGAAGTACAACAGCTGTGCTCTTATTTGAGGCCCTAACTAGACGAGAGAGAGAGGGAAGTATGAGTGTGTGTCAGTGTGTGAGTGTGTGAATATGTGTGTGAAAGGGAGAATGTGATTCAACAGTCAGTCGCTGGCAGCATGTTGGAGATGAGTCATCGGGTATGAGTGGTGGTTATAGCAACAGGAGAGATCTGAACATTTTAACTACAGACTGAGGGAAAAGCTGTTGTTAGTTGGTAAAGATAGAGATATATAGCTGCAGAGATGTTGCTTTTAATATGTATAGAGGTTCTTAATTTTCTGTCTTTAAATGCCAGAAGGAAATTTCAACTGGTTCATATTCATAAATGCATGATGTAGTTTTTGTAACCATGTACCTCATGTGTATTTATTAAGGCACTAAGGCACACGAAACATGTTTGAAGGCTTCCTTTATTGTATTGATTTACCTTTAAATATTAAATTAAGTTTGTTGTTTTTATTCACTATTTGTCATGTTTTTATTTTGTATGTTTCACCCAATATTTGAACCCTCTTTAAAAACAAGATAATGCACCTCAAGATGCTGCAAACAAAGGTTCTTCCATTCAGCCACAGGAGCAGTGAGGTAAACCACTGATGTTAGTGATAAAGCCCGGCCCTTTTCAGCTTTAGGCTGAGGTTTTACGTGAAAATAATACAATAATAAAGTGCCACTAGTGCCAAAGTGTGTTAGGAAAACATTCATAAAGTGCACAAGAAACAGAGAGTCAAAAGAAGTTGTAAGTCTGACCCTTTCCAGTTCATCCCACTGGTGTTGGATGTGTCCGAGGCCAGGGAGTTATAGTATTAACCTGATGGGTTGCAAGATGATTTACAGGATAATAAAGGAGACAAAACCTCTAAAGTTTGTCCAAAATGTTTTCCGAATAAAAAAACTACTGCTATAACATATATAAAGAATACTCAATCTAAATAATCAAATACTTTGAGCTCTTTATCTAAAATGATTAAATTGAAGAGAGGAAATCACACTTTGGTGAAACATTTGACGCAGGATCTCAAATACATTCAATTTTAATCGAGAAAAGCAAAATAATACGATTCTGAAAGATTTAAACACGATTTTGATCGAGAGTATAGTTTGAAGTGGGCAGCAGCATCAACTTGGTACTTCAGAATCTCTTTTATCTGCCAGTTTTAAGAAACATGACGCGGTGTCTGTGTGGGTGCGGGGAATAAAAAGGCTCTGACTGAGTCTGATTGATGCCAACATTCAGAAGCTCTCCACATTCTCTCACATTCATGTGCATACAGGCAGAGATTAAGGTAACTCAATCTAAATAGCAATGTCACCACACTGTATGCAATTATAATCTCAGCCCAGGGGAACAGTTCATGCAAATAAAGCACATTTGCAACACATAGCCAGCTCCACATCTCCTGTAGCCTCCTCCCTAACACTCCCCCCACCCGACTCTCCCTCCTCCGGTTCACACTTGCAAACTAAGTATTCCCTTTTGGTGTCCAGGCTATCGTCTGCATTTGTTTCACACCCGTTTTAAGGTGTTTATCACACGCATATCACAGCCTCCAGGCAAGGTAGCAACTTGATGAAGTGTTCGGGTTTTACTTTAGGGGGCTACGGGACATTTTAATCACCCATCTCTGGCTCTGATTGCACCCTCCAGCTACACCGGGAGGGGAGATCTCTCTCTGGATGGGGTCTTTTGAGGCTTAATCTAATTCTTTTTAGCCATGTGATTGGGTTGGATTTGTAACGCATGCTGAAATATTATATATGTAATACATGCTGTATATTAATCAGTTATTAAGTGTATGTTTTCCTGCTTCAAATGCTTGATCAGTGGTATTTTGAGGATGTTTATTAAATCTTTTATCCTTAAAACGGTCACCTTTTGGTTCATAGTATTTTATAAGTCGTATTTATGAATGTCATCATTTTAAGAATCAAACCGGTCTCTTATCAGTTCTTTTTTCACATGCGGTAAAGTCAAACACAGAGGAGATAATTTAGGGTAAAGGGAATTTCACTGCACTGTAAAAATGAAAAAATTGACCAAAGAATTCAAGGCAACTTACTTCAATAGATTTTTGAGTTAAGTTTGCCAACTAAGAGTCTTTTGTGGAGTAAACTCATAAAAAAGTACATATGGGTTATTAACTAACTACTTTAAACTGCAGCACAAATAACAACATCACTAGTTTACACATCACTTTATACTTTTATTATTATGAAGTAACAGAACCACTGACAAACAGCAGAACTGATAGACAAGAACCCGTCTTGTTCAACAAACTCAGTTTAAATACAGAGCAATTTTCATGACTAGAAGATTAATAGGACTTCTAACAGCAATAAAACATAACTAAAAGTGGAAATTGGATCTAAATATCCCTGCAGGGGCGATCATAGGGGCTATTAATGACTTTAGAGCTATGTTAGGGACTAATAAATAAATAAATGTGACAGCCCCAATAGTGCTACAAACTAGGACTGTGTCATCTAACTTATCTTTTACTGACGCAATCAAGAAAGGCTTTTTAAAAATAACTTTTATGAATTATGAAGTATAGTAAGGGCTTTAATAATTTAATCTACAGATATGAAGTGTATACACGCTCCCTCACTCTGCAACTACATGTCTTTAAAAATGCATTAAGGTTAGGTTAGGTGGTGTTTTATGAAACGCCAGGAAAAAATACACCAAATATTCAAACCATAAACGTCTAAGTTAGTAAAGATAGCCACAAAATAATAAATATATAAATAATCTTCTTTGCCTGGCAGTAAACGTGCACAGCGCCACCTGCTGTACCGGAGGACAAACACAGGTTTCATTCATCCGGGTCATTCATCAAAAATCTGATGCAAGCTCCAACAGCATCCTGGTAATAAGAGTTTACACCCTATTACAGCAAAAAGGCCTCACATTAAATACATAAACCATTACAAAGAGGACTTTAGTGTGTGTGTAACTGATGGAAATGTAATGGAGTACAAAAGTATTTAAGGATACACATTAGTATAAACCCAAGTCAACTTTCTAAGGAATAAGATTTACCCAACTTTTATTCTGACACATTTCTCTGTGTTTTAATGAATAAAGCTTATAGAGATTAATTTATAATATGCTAACAGCACTAACTTTAACTAAATGTGACCTATTCAATGGTTTGTCAATACAATACATTGAGCTGGGCTTTACATGAGAGGCCATAATAGTTTATTTGATTAAGATTTGTTATTAAAATGTTTTATGTTTCTTTATTTTTCTGCCTTTTTCAGCATTTCTTTGCTTTTTGCATTTTGACAACACTGCGAACATTTAGTTTCTTGCACCATCTAGTGGCTGCAGAGGAGAATAAACTATTATTATTCAGCATCAAGTTGTCCTTTGATGGGGTATTTATTGCTGATTGTGTTTGTGGAAAAGTGAGTAAATGTTGTATTAAAGCTCTACAGGTCTCAAACAAGACAGAACACAACCTGTGTGTACACAACTGCTGCAGACAGAGAAAAACAACAGGCTGCATTTCACAAGAAAATACAATGATGTGAGTAAAAACACTCTCTGAGAGTTGTGGGACTTTACCAGCGCAGGGAGGAGCGTACACTGTACACGTGGATTTTATGAAGCTGATTCTGAGCCAAAATCCTTAAATATGGATGTTTTTAGGCCAAAAAATATGTAGATATTGAAAGATGTATCCAGCAGAATTATATTCTTCAAAGGAAACCGCATGTATAATTGTTAAGATATAAAATACAGAAAATAAACAGTTAAAGTTAAATGATGATATAAAATGTGAAAGGAATGTGGTATTTTAGGGTTTGTGGGAGATTGAGATAAAGACGTGATACACAGAGCAACTTCTGTGACACCAGCAAAAGAAACCTCGACATGGAAGTAACCAGTAATCAGTAAAATCTGACATAATGAAAACTAAATAAATATAAATAAAAATGTTTAAACTCATGACTTTCTCTTTTTTTTTTTTTTACACTGGGATTTACAAACATTGGTATTTATGGCAGGAAACAGGTTTTGCCTCGTTTTTTAAATCAGCTTTATCGACTAAAAGGTTAAATAAATGTGTGTAAAATTTTTTTAATAACTATTAAATAGGCTATAAATTATCCTCACCATTGAAATTAATGCAAAATAACATGCATTTTGAGCATTTAGCATTGACTCTTTATCTCTCAGCACCTCCAACCTCACACACACACACACACACACACAGAGATACACTAAAACAAATGATTCCCCTCGTACGTCTCAGATTTTAGTTTTTGTTCAGTAAAACAAACTTGATTATTTTCACAATATTAATAAAGTGACATATATTTCACATACATGTACAACGTCACAAACATTCAAAGCACAGTGAAGGTAAAATAACTTATTGCATCCGTTTAAAAACATCATATCTTTACAATCACAGTGAACTTTGACATTGCAATTGATGAAAAGGGTTTCTATAAAAAAAAAAAAATTATTGTAGATATTGTGTAACTGACAAACAGGCATAATCTCATACTGTAGAAACAATTAAAAACACTGAAAATACACACAAAAAGTTAAGTCATAGTTTGTGGCACTAAAAATATTCAGATCCCGGCAGTGGAACGTGCTTTGGTTTCCTGGATAAAACTTAAGTACCGCAGCTTTCTAAAGATTGAATAAAACAATCTTCTATAAAGATTGTTTTGCAGAATACTGCTGTTATTAAATTAAAAGGCTTTTTTTGGTGCATTTTTATATGTGAAAAGTGCTTCTTTTGGTCCTTCTGGACAGCCTAGAAGTGGTCAGAAAACAGATTCACCTGCACTCAAAGCAAAACACTTTAAAAATCCTTTAGCTTCAAGCGTGTGGTTTGTTCGTAAAACATTCGGTCCCATTCTCCTTCACAAGAAAAACTTAAAAAACACACTAAAAAGATCACAAGTTGATTTGTTTTGGTCTAACCTGAGGCACCGTGTAGTCCAGGTATTACACAATAACTATAATAACTGGTTATAATGTAAATGTTACTTTCTGTAAACATAATCACAACTTCCTGATTTTGGTAAAGGCAGTGAATATCCAGCAGATGTTGAATCATGTTTTTCTTTAACATCAGTGCAAATCTGTTCACACACGCTACTTTAAAAAATGTTCATAAAACGGGTTTAAACTGTCCCCAAACAGAAACACAGGCTCATATTATTGATAAAAACTATGCAAACACTGTAGAAACCAAAACATCTAAATTACTCTTGATAAAAACTGCCCTGGTCCAATGATATAAATGTTACATTATCCTGTAGATACACCTCTCACATTAATATTTAAGTGTGAATACTGCACATATGTATATTTTATACATCAATATACAAAAGATAGACCCCTAAAATCTCCATTAGTACAATGAGTTCAAATGTCTCTTAAAGCCACTTTTTTGTTTAATGGATGCATTTGTTGCATATTTATATGTTTTATATGGAGATGGACCTGCTCCTCTTCTTCTCGGCCTCGGCCCTCTCCTCCTCTGTGACGGCCCATGGTTGGATCTTCCCGCTGCCAAATATAGTGTAGATGAGAGCACCGCCGACGTTGATCCCCGCTGCCACCCAGAACACCTTCCTCCAGCCCGCCAGGGTGTGCTGAAACCAGAGGAGGACGACGAGGGGACTTTAGTTCTGTTACTTAATACGTACAGTATGTGAAATATCAGTGTAATATACAAGTTACTGAGCAAAAAAAACATTTAAGTATCTTCCTTGCAAATATAATTTACTTTTCTTTCTTCCTTTAGTGCTACTTTTAGACATTTTGTTCCATTTTATTTCATTCTAATTTAAACCTACTACAAGGAGTTTTTAACTGGTTATGAAACAGTACATTTAATACTGATGCCTCTGTATGACCGACATAAACAAACAAGACCATCAGCATTGTTCTTAATGGGGGCGCCAGAATCAAAAGAAAATTAAAGGTCCTTATTGCTGCTTTAAATACATGAATATTTGTTTATATGTTAAATGTTTTTATTGTGCAACCCTGTATTGAATATAAATATAGCTAAACCTTGAACCTCAACTCTTCTCTTTTGAGTTGTTTTGATTTTACTTAATGGTTCATGATTTGGAGCTCTGGGAAGGAAGGAAACCACCATAAGTCAATTTATGGCTTATTGGAAACTGGGAACTATTATCTTATCACCACAGTGTGACTCGAGCGCTTTTATTGCTGATTATTTAGGCATTTATTCCATTGATTGGCAGTATGATGTCACCTTGTCACCTCCTGCAATTTAAAGTCCTCTCTCATATAATAAATGAAACTAACCTTTAGAGTCTTTGACGTTGTTTCACAGTTAATCTAAAATATGAAACTGTTCAATGCTGCAGCCAAAGAACGTTACTAATATCAGATAAATCAATTATCTCTGAAATGTTGTGTCTGTCTACTCTTCCCAGATATAGTAACCAATCATTAATTACAGACTTACATCCTTAGTGAAGTATCCTGCAACAATAGGTGCCACGACTCCAGGAACGGTCCCGAATGTGTTGGTGATTCCCAGAAGGAATCCTGCATACCTGCAGGAAACAGGAGCAAATATTCCTCAGTATTTTATTTAAAATACAAAGACAGTGAAAGGAGGCAAAGACAGAGTGAGTTATTAAGCTTAAAATGTACGACTTTCCATGAAATAATGAATAACATTACAATTACTATATTTAATTTAGTGTATCACACATACTGTACACAACAGTCTTAATTTAGGAGTCAGGAGAACCAAAGCTGGATGATTTTACTTAAAGTGTATCCACATCATATTATATTCATTCATATATGTGTTTTAGTCTTGATTAGAACAGAAACAATTAGTAATTCTGATTATCAGTGAATTGTTTGTCAATTTCCATGAATTATAAAATACAGTATTAGATTTCAGGTTTAGTTCTCTCTGTTTTATGTCACTGTAAACTGAATATTTTGGGGTTTTGGACTGTTGGTCCAGACATCTGAAGACGTCCCATTGAGCTTCTGGGGAACTGAGCACATGCAGCCTCAGTCCCAATAAGGACTGAATTTGTGAGAAAATGTTAATAAATGGACATAAAACAAACTCATATTGCACCTTTCTACTCAAAGAGTTTTACACTACATGTCACATTCACTTTTCACAAGTAAGGAAAGAGTATAAATGGTGACACCCACCGCGGAGCGATGTCTATCTGGTTGATGAAGACTCCGGAGGCGCTGATCCCTCCTACGGTTGTGGAGAGTGTGAGGAAGGTGACGGTGAGGATGTGGCTGCAGCCGGCGTAACTCACAGCTACGAGGAAAGCTGCCGGCGGCAACAGACCTGCAGGGAGGAGGTGACATTGAAGTCTCTTTACTCTGTTGTATCTGGATATTATGTGTCAATATTTCAACACAACAAACTGAATCTACACCAGAAGAGGGCAGCATTACTCCATTCAATAACTGAGTCATTGTAATTTGGTCTAATGTTTTTGTTCTGTAATGAATGATCTTTATGGATACTTTATATTATATTCAGTGCAGAGCAATAACATTACAGAGCAACTGATAAACTGTACAACGAACCCAAAGAGCATTAACTACAGGAAGTTTGTGTAAAATGATACAATATTCTCAGGGAATAATCTGTTAAAAATGAATCCAAATCTGCTCAGAGATGAGTTTCTATCTTATATCTGTATCTTTTTCTAATTATCTGTCTGTATTATGTAATTTTTGGTCAGTTTTAACAATCATACAGACTGAATCGGCTTCTTTTTTTAAGTTTATGTCTTGAATGAATACCAAAAATTGTTCTTTCTTCACAGAAATTAATACAATGCTGAGATATATTCCTATTGTATATTCTTACAAAAGTTTTAATTACACCCCTTAAAATCAAAAACACCTTGTGACCCCCAGACAAAGCTATGGCGACCCCTAGTGGAGGTCAGGACCTCCAGGAATCAGTGATGTGCAGGATACATTTAAATAAATATTACATGATTGAGTACATCACCACTTTATATACAAGTGTCCTATAATGGAAGAATACTCATATTTGAACATATTTGAAGTTCATTTGTACGTCAGCAGGTTACATATTGATACTAAATATCGAGTAAAACTACATGCTGCCTTGTTTTAAAAAATAGTATGAACTTATATGCTTTATTTTGGGCCATTAAATGAATCTAGAAGAGTAAAACTCATTGTTGGTGGCTGTAGGTCAACAGTATTTGAGCTACAGTACATTTAATGTTGTGTTACTTGAGTGAATTGACAGCCAGCAGTTTCACGTGTAATCAAATTGCTCTTTCGTTACTTACTGCAGACATTCCTGCAGAAAGTCTTTTAGCTTTTCGAAGAATCTTTTAAAACACCTTGTGAAAAATAACTGATCTTTGATAAGTGCGTCTTTCCATGTCAATAATAATTGATCCTCCCATCAGACTCTATATAATGTCTAACACTGTAGTTTCCCTCTATTAGACAATGGAGAATACAGAGCTGTCTGTATTTGGACATTGTTTTGCTCTTTGTGCTCACACACAGTGTATTTCAAATAAAATGAAATGTTATTATGAGATTAAAGTTAATGCCATCCATCCGTATTATGTGATCAGAGGAGGAGTTCTGGCTGTTTGCATGATGAAGGTGCACACTCACACACTGGGTCAGAGCCAAGACAATACTGTCAACAGTAAAATACAGACTGCACTTTATACAATGAAGTCAAACTCTGCTGCTCGACTGTAAATCACTTCTCTTTAACGTCCGTTAACATAGCTCAAGTTCTCGAACAGTCAGTGGTGAACAAAGTCAATATATTGATGTACTTAAGTGAATGTTGGTGGCACTTGCACTCAACTTGTGTACTTCCATTTTACGCAGCTTTACTTCTACTCCACAACAGCTGAAGGCAAATATTGTACTTTTTTACTCAATTACATTGCACAGCTTTAGTTACTTTTTAGATTACAATTTTCATACCCTTCCTGTCCAGGGAAAAACACAGATCTCCAAACGTGGTGATTATGATTTTTTTGGGATAAACTGATGGATTAAGTGAGGAAATTGTCCTACTTATTGAGCTAAATTAACTATTTAAAAACCCTCTTGGATTATCTGGAAAATGCTTCGTCACAAAGCTAAAAAAAAAGCAGCGACGCTACAAACATATGATGATCTTATAGAGTATGATGCATTGCTGTAGAATAAATTACCCAACAGTATATAAAGTTTAAATAAGATCAACCTTATACATCTGCGCAGTAAATGTAACATACACATACACAAATACATATAATTAAAAACACTGACAGGGACAGTTTAAGATTTTTGCAGATAAGACTTTTACTTAAGTCAGAACTTTTACATGTAACAGATTATTTTCAGTGTGATATTAGTACTTTTAGGATCTGGTGACAGTCCAACCACACACAAAAAGCCCTCATGCAGCACAGGTGTACACAAGGGCTAATACACAAAGAGGATCTGAGAGGTTTCCTTACCCAGGATTGTGAAGAGCTTACGAACGGTGGTGACGCTTAACAACCTCCTCTCGATGAGGAGGTCGGCTACAACACCCGAGAGCGCCGATAACAACCAGGCACCGAGGTACGGCAGAGCAGAGAGGAAACCGTTCTGGACAGAGAGAGACGGAGAGAAGTTGTCCTATAGTTGTTCTATATTTGTCATGTAACAGTGAGCTAGTGTGCACAAACCCAGGACTCTGAAACTGAAGCAGCTAAATGTAATTCAGCTCTTTTATTATTACTAGGGCTTCTTTTTTACATGGAAGAGAGGAACAAATAAATCCAATTCTCACCGATTTGAGGTCAAAATGCATGATGTTGTTCATGTAGGTGGGCAGGGAGGTGAGCAGGGTGTAGTAGGACCAGTTTGAACACATCTGGGTCACTATGATGGCCCACAGAGGGACCGACAGCAGCATGGGCACCAGGGGCACGGACCAGCCATGACCTGTACCCTGCAGTTCAGATTAATGACAAAAAACACCACACATATAATGAGAACAATCCTTATTTCTCACAGGTTTTAGGATGCAGTAAGAAAGATTATTCAACATTCAGCTGAGGGGAAGAGAAAGTAAAACAAAGAGAACAGTAAGGGAAATGGAAAAGGGAAGTTTGAGTAGGAATATTAAGAATAATGTGACACTGCAAGCAGTAAAACTCTCCCTTATGAAGTAGAGAACCAATTCAGTTTCAGTACATCCAAAAACTCTCTTGCTTCCTTTTATCCGACAGCTGGAATGAAAGTGTTGGAGGAGAAACTGTACGAGCAGACTGCACTTAACCAGAGTTTTATATCTCATCAGCAAAGAGGAGCTGCAATAAAGCGTCTCAGATGATATTATCTTCTTCTGGTCCTCTGGTTTATAAACAGTTACCTCTTTTTCCCATTTGTAATCACTAATAATAAATAGTTTTTTGAGCTGCAGCACAATAGAAAATGAAGAGAAAGGTTGAGAAACACGAGATTTGGTGTCATAGTCAATAAAACGTTGGTTAATGTTTCATATGCACCTGAGGTCCAATGGAGTTTATGATGTAATCTCTCTCCTCTTTGCTGATTCGAGGATCGGTGCGAGGATCATCTGACACAAAAATAAACCAAAAGACTGCCCAGAGGCAACCAGCACCTCCTGACACAGAGACGGAGAGAAAACCTTTAATTGCACAAGGTGGTGAGTAATTAAAGGAACGGTGTTCACTGATCGCCTGGTGTCATAGTAATACTATCACAAATGCCGTTAAAATACTGCTAATGGTTAAATAAAACGTATGGTGTAACAACAACAAGTATCATTTAATTACATCTGACTGCATATTAATCAATTATATCAGATCAGAAAAAAGGACGTCATGTTGTCCCGGGAACTATAAAAAGGGCCAAAAAACAAAGATACAGTGGGACAATTCTGGGACAGTAGAGACATTTATCACGACAAATTAAATTATTAAGTCATGGAATATATATAATGTATAATAATATAAATATATCATTTTAATTGTTAGGAGCTCAAATTTAAAAATCTGAGTTGTCACCAGCACAAACTCTACGCTGCGTCCTGAACACACTTACACAAGTAAAATCAATCACATAAAGAAAGACCAGTGTTGCTAACATGGCGACTTTCTCGCTAGAATTACCTCTTAGCGACTTTATTTCTAAAAAACTACCAGGAAAAACAAGATTATTCAAATATATTATCATAATTCAGTCCCACGGCTCTTCTGCCAACAGCGCCTGGGTCTCTCCCTCTCCTCAGTAGGTGTGGTGTGTGTGGCGCACGTTTGAAATTTTTCTCTCACTCTTTGTCCAGATCTTTGGACTATAGTGTTCCTACAGTTTATATGTGAACAGTTTGTTTGAGCTTGTAAATATTTAAATAGGCTGTTTGATCTTCTCGCTGCCTTCCATGGCGGGCCAGAGTGAGTCAATGAAGAGATCTGACTTACTGAAATAAAGTTGTTAAACTACATTCATTACGTAGAAAGAAACCAGAATAACCTTTTTATTAGCAATATACTGTAAATATTATCTTAACATTTGGGACAATAGTTGAAACTAAAAATCAGCTGAAGAAAACAGTTAATTCTGGCTCCACCCCTCTCTTGTGGCAGCATTTACCACCCTGGTATCTTTCCTGTGAGAGACTAAAGTGTGTCGTGATGTATATGAGTATGTGGTTGTATTTGGGTTCGTGTGTGTCTCCCTCACACTCACCACAGATGTAGAAGACAGCGGGCCAACCTAAAGTCTGGCAGATGTAGCCGGTGAGCGGCAGAGCCAAAAAGGCCCCAAAGTTGGCCCCAGATCCCGACAGGGTCATCAGACGAGAGCGCTCCAGAGGAGGAGCCCACCGAGCCCACATCGCCATCATGGCCGGGAACGTCACACCCTTTGAGATGGAGACAGGCAGTCAGACGCGCAGAGAGTGAGACAGGCATCCATTACATAATGTGGATGTGTAGCAACAATGATTTCAAAAGTTTCCTCTGCATTAATACATCTGGGATGCTATAAAATGAAGCTGAAATTATCAGGTTGTTAATCAATTAGTATAGTGTTTAGGTACTTTAATACATAAATTATGCAATATTATGTATAATTCCTAAAATAAGTGTACTGTAAGTTCAATAAACCACATTTTATATTCAATATTTCTATTTTTAAAGATCCTCAGTGAAGCACAGAGTGCAACTTATCAAAAAAGACAGTTCAATGCAACAACAATGCTGTTAATAAGTGATGAGAAAAAACTGATGGTGTCCCATTAATTCAGTGATGGATTCTAAGTTAAGTATTTTCCTTAATAAGTCAGACACTGATGGCACAGCGCTGTGTTCTCCATTCAAGCATTTATTTTTAATGCTTGAATGGATTAATGAAAAAAGTTTGAGAATCACTGGATCAGTCAATTCATTGGCGGCTATTTTAGTAATCAATTAATCGTTTAAAAGGACCAGTGTGTGAGATTTAGTGTTTCTAGAGTAAGTGTTTAGTTTGTCTGTTCTGGGCTTCTGTAGATACAATAAATTAAATTATTCTAAGGTAACGAAAACACAACAATTCTTATATTCAGGTATTTATACACTAATGAAAACATACTTCTGCCAATACACCCTCCTAAATCTTACACACTGGACTTTTAAGAGCTTTATTTGCTGACATTTTATTTGTTAATCAAGAAAATAATCAGCTGATTAATCAATTATGAAAACAATTGTTGTAGTTTGAGCTCTATTGTAAAAACAACTGAAGCATCACAGGATACAATAAATTAAAGTCTTAAGTGAGTTAAAGAAGGTAATCAGGATAATCAGACATCATTGATCTACTGTATATAATCTCTTGGATACATCGAGGCTTTTAGAAGAATTAATTTACCAGAAACGCTACTGAACAATTTAGTAAATCTTGTGTAGCCTCATGATCAATGTCCAATTTCACTAAAAGCCAATATCTGCCAGATTTATCTGCAGATGAATGAATATGTTACTCAGTTATTGTTGTTTAAACTAGAGATACACAGACAGAAACCGTGCACACAATAATGCAGCTCAACACACACTCTCACCTCTCCAAAGCCCTCCAGCGCTCGCAGTGCAAACAGCCAGTATGAGCCCAGCTGTGCAGCCAGGGGGGTGAGCAGAGTGAGGGCCGCGGTGCCCAGAACACCCACACCCAGGAACACCTTCCCCCCGTAGTGACCGGACAGGTAGCCCCCTGGGATCTGTGTGCACAGGTAGCCGAAGAAGAAGGCCCCCAGCAGCCAGCCCTGAGTCTCCGAGTTCCACGGGTACTGAGGGATCTGGGGACAACAGGGAGGACAGGGAGTGAGTATTTAGGATAAAAGGCATTTAAAACATGGGGGGAAAAGGAAGGAAACACAGTTGACTCTCATTTAAATCTGGTTTAAGGTGAGTTTATCTCATCAAATGTCTTGGAACAACTACCGAACTACACACAATATATTTAAGAATTAGCAAAAGGAAAAATGCTTTAAAAACACCGTTACCCCCTCAGGTTGTGGGAAAGTATCACTGGCGTTTTCCATCCCCGGTGGCATCGGACAGGCGTGGAATACGGAGCTGTTCTGGGCTGGTTTGGGGTCAGTGGAGTTCACCATGGCCACCATGGCGACACTGAGGTTGACCCGCAGGCCGTAGACCACAGAGAAGCCGAAGAACATCAGGAAGGCCAGGTTGAGGCGAGCCGAGCAGCACTGTGGAGGGACTGTTCACACAGAATACAGTGATATTTACATGCTGTCTGTTTGTTTTGGGGGGATTTATTTTATAGTGACAGCTGAACATAGACAAGAAATGGGAGAGAGACGGGATGATAAAGCAAAGGGCCACATGCTACTGTAGTAAGGATTCATGCCGGCTCCACCAGGTGAGCTACCAGGGCGCCCCACAGTCGGGTTTCTTTATGGGTCAAGAAAGTTATCCTACTTTTTAAAGAACTACGTCTTCATTAGCTAAATAAAACATTTAAAAACATATTGAATCAACTTAAAAACACATCAGAAAACAGCTGATAGAGTGATTTGACAAACTAATATAAACTACATATAAAGAAGACTTTCAGTTAACAATTGGTCACATAAAACAATAAAAATACATTATATTCAGACAGTAGTTGGACATAGTTTACAGACCCACTAAACTTTTAACTCTTTTAACCTTTAACTTTAACAGATTCATTATCAGACCAAAAGGTTTTATAATTCATATTATTAGTGCTGCCGGGATTTTGACCTCTTCTATCAAACACTGACTTCAAGCCACATAAAATATCAATAACATATACTAACTTGTTGCCTCGTGTTTATCCACATATTCAAAGAGATGTCGATCAATTTGAAAGTTAAAGCAGTTCAATTTTATCTAGATTTTGATCTGAATCTGAAAATATAGCAAACCTTTTATTATGTGTCTTAACCTGGAATCATTGCAGCTTAAGGGTCAACTCTAGCTCACTCAGCTGTTGCCTAATTTATCTTTATTTCAGTAACATGTGATTTCACTGCAGCCATTTGATGGTCAGCAACCTCATTAAGATCTTACGTAACAGGTAATCTGTAACCAGTGAGGTGCTGATGTGTATACGACAGCTGCAGAGAATCTGCTGAGTAACCGGAGTGACAAACCTGTGACAGAATGAACTAACAAAATAAATAGCGTGTTGTTCCACGCTGGGAACAGACGCAGAGACATTACACTATTTATTTGTATTTATGTTATTATATTATTATTTATGTTTACATCCAACAAAACAGAGACAAATATGGATGGAAAAAGATTCAAATTGAATATTAAATGAGAAAATTGGACTGCTGGTGAAGTGCACTTTTAATGGTTTTCCTGATTTTATATAGACTGAAAATAACTGTTAGTTCCAGCTTTACATCTCATTTTTTGTTGATTCTGGCGGCCCCTGTGGACGAAAGCGTTGGTCTTTCAACTATCATATGTGGAAATAGCCAATCTTTTCACTCTTTTTTGTTTCTGTAGGTCATATAGAGGCATCAATATTAAATTTAGACTGTTTCCTAACCAGTTAAAAACTCCCTGTAGTATGTTTAATATCCCTCTAACATTACAACTGATCCATGGGGTCTTAAAAATGTCTTAAATATGTTTCTGACAGGTCTTAAAAAAGTTAAGTTAAAGTTGCATTTTGTCTCTCTTTC